ATCACCCTCCATCTTGCCGAAGCTCATCGTGCCCGTGTGGATGCCGCTGGCACCGATGACGCGCGACAAGCTTGGTGTGCACGAAGGCGGTGTACCCACGCTGCGTCTGAGGGCTGGTCACTGCGCCGTGGCCGGCGCGGTGGTAGTGCAGAAACTGCTTCGGGAAATTGCGGCGCGCAACGGTCACCGCAGTGCCCCCAGCCACGTATCCGTCGACCAAAAATGCGCAATTCTCCGCCATCGGGCCCATCTGATTCAAGATGTACTTGGCACGCGCGATCATCTCGTTCGGGTCGTCCGCCGTAATGTTGGCGGAGAACAGCTTGCCCTGGCCCGTTTCCTCCTGGGCCGCGCGCATGGCCTTCACGACTTCGGGGATGCATTCGTTCATTTGGCAAAACGTCTGGTTGCCTTGCGGCTCGTCGTTCTTGATGAAGTCGCCGCCCTGCCAGAAGCCATAGCACGCCTGGCCGAAGGGCTTCGGCTGCAAGCCGAGCTTGGGCTTAATGATGGTGCCGACCACCAGGCCACCGCCGACCGTGCCGCGGCCCAGAATGCGCCACATGTCGATCACGCAGCACGACGGCCCGTCGAACAGGCGCAGGTACTGCGGCGGGAAGTAGATGTCGTAGATCTTGCCGTAGTCGACGTCACCCATACCCTGGTTGTTCCCGATGCTGAGAGTCAGCACGGAGCACATCATTGCGCGGCCATCGGTGATGTTGCGGTCGAACAAGGCCGTCGGGTAGGCGATCTTCATCTCTTCGTTCTCTGGGTCAATGTAGTAAACGAGTGCGTCCACAGTCTTGGTGAAGTCGTCAGTAGTGCACACGTTCACGTTCGTGCCAGTGGAGGACTCCGCCGCGAAGTGCGCCGCCGTGGCGAGGTAGTCGTAACCCGCCTTGGGCTTCATGATGTAGGCCACGAGCACGTGCTGGCCGTTCTTGATCAGGTCCTCCTCCGTCAGCGAGAGGTCCGCGTAGCGGCTCGACTGGTCCAGGGCACGGCGGGCCACGCTGGCACGCGCGCGGACCGAAACAATCGACGAGGTCTGGCCTGCCGCCAACTTGCTGGCGCGACCGCGGCGCTTGGACCCGACGGCCGCGGCGAGAGCAGCCGCGGCCGCCGGTGCTGCCAGGGCCGCCGCTCCCCCCGAGGGGCTGGACTGCTGGGCGTGCGCGGCGCCGCGGAGGGCGGGGGTCTCCGGAGCGGAAGCCTGCAGCGTCTCCTCGACGGCCGCGCGGGGCGCACCCTGCGACGACACGAAGGACTGGCCGTGCTTCAGGCAAGCGACGGCCGCCAGGCCAGCGGCGGCCCCGAGCGAGGCGCGCTGGGCCATGGTGCGGTAGGGCCGAGCCGACGGGGCTCACACGGTCTCCGCTGTGGTTCGGCAGAGCAGGCCTCAGCCAAAACGGCTGCGGAGAAGGACAGGGGAAGGAAGCGAGGAGGACAGGGAATGGGAGAAGACGAAGAGAGGGGGAAGGACGAGGAGGTGACCATGGAGATTGGTATACATGATTCCTGCCGAGCACATCGTAACACATCGGTACCATACTCTGGGTTTCGTAATAAGCGTGGGGGGATACGGGGGTCAACGTCGCCTCGTCGTCGCGACGCGACGGGGGTCCGAGCGCCTTCGGCGCGCGGTGGCTGCCCGCGACGGGGGTCGATGTGGGGCTGTCGGCGGGGGTGACGCCCCCCCGAGGCTTGTTAAGGAACTCGGAGTAACATCAAGTCGTAGCCTAAGAAGCAGAGCATCGGCATAAGGTCGATCAAGATTAAGCGAAGATGAGGCCTCAAATGGTAATAGGCTCTACTACAGATCGCCTAACTCTATTTCACTTATTAAATGTGGGGGGGGGGGGGGGGCAAACGTCGTTGGGGGTCCCACGCCGGCGAAAACTATCCCAGGGCCACATCTTCACGCCGGCGAAAAATACGTCGCCCAAACGCCGGCGAAAATTATGTACCATCTCAGTGACGCCAATCATAACGGTGAAAATAATGAATATGAGAATAAAGGTGGTGATGGCGATGTTGATATTGATGACTCATCGTCTTCGCGTGAAGTCCCGACGCTGCTTCACGGCGGCGCCAAGGCCTCATGATTTCGCTCTTGTATTGCCCATTATCCGAGAGAGGGGGCCGGCGGCAGGGGGCGAAGCCCTTACGGATAAGTCGAGCATCAGTGTAAGGTCGATCAAGATCAAGCGAAGATGAGGCCTCAAATGGTAATAGGCTCTACTGCAGATCGCGCCCTGGCATGATCTATCAATTCCTCCCCTCTTCACCACCACCACCCCGTCATCTTGCACCTCATCATCTCTGTCATCATCCTCTCCCTCCTCCTCCCCCTCCTCCCGTACCATCTTCCTCCCCCACCTTCTCCTCACACCCCCCTCACTTCACCCCCAAAATTCTTGCACGCAAAAGATGAACATGATCGACCCACGAACCCGGAAAGGAATATAGAAATGTAACGCATGGCAACGTTTTCAAAGACACCTGATTGGGTGACGGGCAAGTGCAATGCTGATTGTATCGATCTTGATGCACCGTGCCGAGGGCTGTGCTGTGCTGCACCGTGCTGAATTGCGATGTGCCATGCCGCGGTTGTGCTCTATAGCGTCGTGGATCGACTCTTCCTTTGCATCCGAGTCCTGACCGAACTGATCTGGATCTGAAGCTCGAGCTGCCTGAACACATAGTAGCTGCCCCAGAGCTAATTGACAGGGGGACATGCCAGGAGGACGCGCCGCGAAACGTCCCAAGGGACGCGCCAGGCGACGTGCCAACGGACGTGCCATGGGGTCGCACCGTAGGACGTGCCAAGGGGACGCGCTACGGGAAATCCTCAAAATTCCTGCGCGCGGGACGCGGCACGCGCGAGACATCCTTGGAATTCCTGCGAGCGGGACACGAAAACAAGCAATTCGCCTGAGACATCCTCTGAATTCTGGCCCCCACGAAGCCCCCGCTCGAGACATCCCCAAATTTGGCAAAACCAGCGTTTCGCTCGAGACATCCTCACCAAAGTATGAAAAACAAGCGTTTCGCTCGAGACATCCGGTCAAAATCCAAGGACATCCTGGCAAAACAAACGAATTAGTCGAAACATCATCAAAATTCCTGCGCGCGGGACGCGGCACGCGCGAGACATCCTTGGAATTCCTGCGAGCGGGACACGAAAACAAGCATTTCGCCTGAGACATCCTCTGAATTCTGGCCCCCCACGAAGCCCCCGCTCGAGACATCCCCAAATTTTGCAAAACCAGCGTTTCGCTCGAGACATCCTCACCAAACTATGTAAAATTACGCTGCGCCCGCGCTGGCAGGGCCACGATCCCTCGTAAATTACCTGCGCCCGCGCTCCCAGGGCCACGATCCCTCCTAAATTACGCTGCGCCCGCGCTCCCAGGGCCGCGATCCCTTGTAAATTACACTGCGTCCGCGCTCCCAGGGCTACGATCCCTCGTAAATTACACTACACCCGCGCTCCCAGGGCCACGATCCCTCGTAAATTACGCTACGTCAGCGCTCCCAGGGCCACGATCCCTCGTAAGGGCTCCTGGGCCCTCCTGGGTCTTCCTTGGACCTCTTGGGCCCTCCTGGGCTCTCCTGGAGCCTCCTGGAGCTTCTCCTGGGCCCTCCTTGGGCCCCCTGGTGCCTCTTGGAGCCTCCTGGGTCCTCCTGGGCCCTCCTGGGCTCTCCTGGGCCCTCCTGGGCTCTCCTGGGCTCTCCTGGAGCCTCCTGGGCCCTCCTGGGCGAAGTCAAGGTCCGAAAACACATGGGACTTGCCACATTTCTGAAATTCGGTGCCACCCCTCACGCAGGTCGGCGGGGTCAGGATCCGAAAACACAGGGGATTTGCCACATTTCTGGAATTCCGTGCCACCCCTCACGCAGATCGGCGGGGTCAGGGTCCAAAAACACATGGGATTTGCCACATTTCTGGAATTCCGCGCCACCCCTCACGCAGATCGGCGGGGTCAGGGTCCAAAAACACAGGGGATTTGACACATTTCTGGTATTCCGTGCCACACCTCACGCAGATCGGCGGGGTCAGGGTCAAAAAACACAGTGGATTTCTGCTATTTCCGAACTTATGCAACTTCAAGAATCCAAAACTCCGTTCCCAGCGCCGTTCCGGAGGCCGCGGTACCTCGTTATTTATCGAGCGAACGCGTTTACCTAGCTTTTTGTCGTTTAAAGTCGATGTCAGAAAAAAGTGGACTTCACCTGTGAAATATCGAGGTTTCCTGAAAGGCAGTAAATTTCCAAGAGCACGATCTGCGTGAGGGGTGGCGAAAAATGGCATTCGTCCTCACAATTGAAATCCGCCGGCCCCCTTCGACCTCGTAATTTATCACACAAGAATTCCGCCGGCCCCTTTCAAGTAAAAACCGCGGGGAAGACCATCGAAAAGAGAACCCTGGGCTCGAGCCCTTTCCGGGAAAAAGAGGGGGGACAAGGCGGAAGTTAGAGCAGAGGTGAAGTACTAAGGAATAGGGCGCGAAAAACAAGAAGGACGAGGGGGAGCTGAAGGAGCATGAGGATGGGGAGGGGGAGGACCCTGAATGGAGAGAGGGCCGATAACTACTGCCAAGAGTGTCCGTTCTCATACTCCTCCTCCCCCTCCGCCAAGCACGCCTCTTCTGCATCCTCTTGCTCTTCCGTCTGCTTATCCTGTGCCTCCTCCTCTTCTGGCTGCTGCTAACCCTGTTCTTCCTCATTATCATTGTCCTCATCCACCTCCGCGATACCCCTCTTCCCCGTCATTTTCGCGCCGACTTTGTGACGACGTCTGGGACAGCTCGTGGGCCAAAACAAACAACTCCGAAACCGCAATACATCATCCTACGAAAAAAGACCAGACCACATTCAATGTAAATGCTGAACGCATGAAAATGAGCCACTTGATTAAGATGGAAAATCGGGCTGCACAGTGGTGCTGTTCTGGCCATGGGTTTTCCATGGTTGCACTCAGCTCATAGTTGCACCTAGCTCAACTCCTTCTTCTGCCAGTTGAAGCTGGCGGCCTGGACGGAGGACTCGCCTGTGTAGCCGAGCTTCTCCTTCCAGCCAGGGTAGATCTGGTCCGCATCTTTCTGGAACGTCAAGAATGCGCCCTTGAGCTCCTCGTGCGTCTTCGCGTACTCCACGACACCGTCCGACAGGCTCACGTCGCCGTAGGTGCCTGCCTTCCACAACTTCCACGACTCCTCGCCCTGGGCGCACGAGATCGCGCCCTGCTTCGGCCCGTCCTTGTGCCCGAAAGCCCCACCACCCGCCGTCAGGATCACGTTCGAGTGCCCCAGGTTCTCGAAGAACGCAGGCAGCCGCAGGGCGTTCATGCCACCCGAGATGATCGGGGTGGTCTGCTTCATACCCTCCCACTCCTGGCGGTAGTACGGGCCATCGGCGACGTCGTCCTGCAGCATGAAGCCGATGTTCTTGTCCGAAGCATCGCCCTCCATCTTGCCGAAGCTCATCGTGCCCGTGTGGATGCCGCTGGCACCGATGACGCGCGACAGCTTGGTGTGCACGAAGGCGGTGTACCCACGCTGCGTCTGAGGGCTGGTCACTGCGCCGTGGCCGGCGCGGTGGTAATGCAGAAACTGCTTCGGGAAGTTGCGGCGCGCAACGGTCACCGCAGTGCCGCCTGCCACGTATCCGTCTACCAAAAATGCGCAATTCTCCGCCATCGGGCCCATCTGATTCAGGATGTACTTGGCACGCGCGATCATCTCGTTCGGGTCGTCCGCCGTAATGTTGGCAGAGAACAACTTGCCCTGGCCCGTTTCCTCCTGGGCCGCGCGCATGGCCTTTACGACTTCGGGGATGCATTCGTTCATTTGGCAAAACGTCTGGTTTCCCTGCGGCTCGTCGTTCTTGATGAAGTCGCCGCCCTGCCAGAAGCCATAGCACGCCTGGCCGAAGGGCTTCGGCTGCAAACCGAGCTTGGGCTTAATGATGGTGCCGACCACCAGGCCACCGCCAACCGTGCCGCGGCCCAGGATGCGCCACATGTCGATCACGCAGCACGACGGCCCGTCGAACAGGCGCAGGTACTGCGGCGGGAAGTAGATGTCATAGATCTTGCCGTAGTCGACGTCACCCATACCCTGGTTGTTCCCGATGCTGAGAGTCAGCACTGAACACATCATTGCGCGGCCATCGGTGATGTTGCGGTCGAACAAGGCCGTCGGGTAGGCGATCTTCATCTCTTCGTTCTCCGGGTCAATGTAGTAAACGAGTGCGTCCACAGTCTTGGTGAAGTCATCAGTGGTGCACACGTTCACGTTCGTGCCGGTGGAAGACTCCGCCGCGAAGTGCGCCGCCGTGGCCAGGTAGTCGTAACCCGCCTTGGGCTTCATGATGTAGGCCACCAGCACGTGCTGGCCGTTCTTGATCAGGTCCTCCTCCGTCAGCGAGAGGTCCGCGTAGCGGCTCGACTGGTCCAAGGCACGGCGGGCCACGGAGCTCGCTTTGCGAGTCGTGCTGGCGCCAACGAACGCGGCGGCCAAATCCTTCTTCTGCCAGTTGAAGCTGGCGGCCTGGACGGAGGACTCGCCTGTGTAGCCGAGCTTCTCCTTCCAGCCAGGGTAGATCTGGTCCGCATCCTTCTGGAACGTCAAGAATGCGCCCTTGAGCTCCTCGTGCGTCTTCGCGTACTCCACGACACCGTCCGACAGGCTCACGTCGCCGTAGGTGCCTGCCTTCCACAACTTCCACGACTCCTCGCCCTGGGCGCACGAGATCGCGCCCTGCTTCGGCCCGTCCTTGTGCCCGAAAGCCCCACCACCCGCCGTCAGGATCACGTTCGAGTGCCCCAGGTTCTCGAAGAACGCAGGCAGCCGCAGGGCGTTCATGCCACCCGAGATGATCGGGGTGGTCTGCTTCATACCCTCCCACTCCTGGCGGTAGTACGGGCCGTCGGCGACGTCGTCCTGCAGCATGTGTCTTGTCCGAAGCATCGCCCTCCATCTTGCCGAAGCTCATCGTGCCCGTGTGGATGCCGCTGGCACCGATGACGCGCGACAGCTTGGTGTGCACGAAGGCGGTGTACCCACGCTGCGTCTGAGGGCTGGTCACTGCGCCGTGGCCGGCGCGGTGGTAATGCAGAAACTGCTTCGGGAAGTTGCGGCGCGCAACGGTCACCGCAGTGCCGCCTGCCACGTATCCGTCTACCAAAAATGCGCAATTCTCCGCCATCGGACCCATCTGATTCAGGATGTACTTGGCACGCGCGATCATCTCGTTCGGGTCGTCCGCCGTAATGTTGGCAGAGAACAGCTTGCCCTGGCCCGTTTCCTCCTGGGCCGCGCGCATGGCCTTTACGACCTCGGGGATGCATTCGTTCATTTGGCAAAACGTCTGGTTGCCCTGCGGTTCATCGTTCTTGATGAAGTCGCCGCCCTGCCAGAAGCCATAGCACGCCTGGCCGAAGGGCTTCGGCTGCAAGCCGAGCTTGGGCTTAATGATGGTGCCGACCACCAGGCCACCGCCGACCGTGCCGCGGCCCAGGATGCGCCACATGTCGATCACGCAGCACGACGGCCCGTCGAACAGGCGCAGGTACTGCGGCGGGAAGTAGATGTCATAGATCTTGCCGTAGTCGACGTCACCCATACCCTGGTTGTTCCCGATGCTGAGAGTCAGCACTGAACACATCATTGCGCGGCCATCGGTGATATTGCGGTCGAACAAGGCCGTCGGGTAGGCGATCTTCATCTCTTCGTTCTCCGGGTCAATGTAGTAAACGAGTGCGTCCACAGTCTTGGTGAAGTCATCAGTGGTGCACACGTTCACGTTGGTGCCGGTGGAAGACTCCGCCGCGAAGTGCGCCGCCGTGGCCAGGTAGTCGTAACCCGCCTTGGGCTTCATGATGTAGGCCACCAGCACGTGCTGGCCATTCTTGATCAGGTCCTCCTCCGTCAGCGAGAGGTCCGCGTAGCGGCTCGACTGGTCCAAGGCGCGGCGGGCCACGGAGCTCGCTTTGCGAGTCGTGCTGGCGCCAACGAACGCGGCGGCCAAATCCTTCTTCTGCCAGTTGAAGCTGGCGGCCTGGACGGAGGACTCGCCTGTGTAGCCGAGCTTCTCCTTCCAGCCAGGGTAGATCTGGTCCGCATCCTTCTGGAACGTCAAGAATGCGCCCTTGAGCTCCTCGTGCGTCTTCGCGTACTCCACGACACCGTCCGACAGGCTCACGTCGCCGTAGGTGCCTGCCTTCCACAACTTCCACGACTCCTCGCCCTGGGCGCACGAGATCGCGCCCTGCTTCGGCCCGTCCTTGTGCCCGAAAGCCCCACCACCCGCCGTCAGGATCACGTTCGAGTGCCCCAGGTTCTCGAAGAACGCAGGCAGCCGCAGGGCGTTCATGCCACCCGAGATGATCGGGGTGGTCTGCTTCATGCCCTCCCACTCCTGCCGGTAGTACGGGCCGTCAGCGACGTCGTCCTGCAGCATGAAGCCGATGTTCTTGTCCGAAGCATCGCCCTCCATCTTGCCGAAGCTCATCGTGCCCGTGTGGATGCCGCTGGCACCGATGACGCGCGACAGCTTGGTGTGCACGAAGGCGGTGTACCCACGCTGCGTCTGAGGGCTGGTCACTGCGCCGTGGCCGGCGCGGTGGTAATGCAGAAACTGCTTCGGGAAGTTGCGGCGCGCAACGGTCACCGCAGTGCCGCCTGCCACGTACCCGTCGACCAAAAATGCGCAATTCTCCGCCATCGGACCCATCTGATTCAGGATGTACTTGGCACGCGCGATCATCTCGTTCGGGTCGTCCGCCGTAATGTTGGCGGAGAACAGCTTGCCCTGGCCCGTTTCCTCCTGGGCCGCGCGCATGGCCTTTACGACTTCGGGGATGCATTCATTCATTTGGCAAAACGTCTGGTTGCCCTGCGGCTCATCGTTCTTGATGAAGTCGCCGCCCTGCCAGAAGCCATAGCACGCCTGGCCGAAGGGCTTCGGCTGCAAGCCGAGCTTGGGCTTAATGATGGTGCCAACCACCAGGCCACCGCCGACCGTGCCGCGGCCCAGGATGCGCCACATGTCGATCACGCAGCACGACGGCCCGTCGAACAGGCGCAGGTACTGCGGCGGGAAGTAGATATCATAGATCTTGCCGTAGTCGACGTCACCCATACCCTGGTTGTTCCCGATGCTGAGAGTCAGCACTGAACACATCATTGCGCGGCCATCGGTGATGTTGCGGTCGAACAAGGCCGTCGGGTAGGCGATCTTCATCTCCTCGTTCTCCGGGTCAATGTAGTAAACGAGTGCGTCCACAGTCTTGGTGAAGTCATCAGTGGTGCACACGTTCACGTTGGTGCCGGTGGAAGACTCCGCCGCGAAGTGCGCCGCCGTGGCCAGGTAGTCGTAACCCGCCTTGGGCTTCATGATGTAGGCCACCAGCACGTGCTGGCCGTTCTTGATCAGGTCCTCCTCCGTCAGCGAGAGGTCCGCGTAGCGGCTCGACTGGTCCAGGGCGCGGCGGGCCACGCTGCCGCGTGGCTCGCGGACCGGGACGACGGACGCGGCCTGGCCAGCCGCCAACTTGTTGGCGCGACCGCGGCGTCTGGACCCCACGGCCGCGGCGAGGGCGGCGCCGGCCGCCGGCGCTGCCAGGGCCGCCGCTCCCCCCGAGGGGCCGGGCTGGGCGCGCGTGGCCCCGCGGAGGGCAGGGGCCTGCGCGGGGGACGCCTGGAGCAGCTCCTCGGTGGCCGCGCTGGAGGCGCCCTGCGAGGACACGAAGGACGGGCCTGGCTGCAGGCAGGCGGCGGCCGCCAGGCCGGCAGCGGCCGCGAGCGAAGCGCGCTGGGCCATGCTGGTGGTGCTGCCAAGCCGATGGGGCCCGCGCGTGCGACAGAGCCCGAATGAACGGGTACAACTTGGGCCGAAATGGACAAGAATGGATACGCGCACACTGGTCACCCTTGGAACGAGCTGGCAGACTCAATGGCCGAACGGCAATGCCGACAGGGCGACCCTGCCCCACACACTGAGTGGGCAGAAGTCTTCGACGCCCAGAGGCAAGGCAGTGGCAGCGGTTATCGACTAAGACACCAGGAAAGCATACCCCAAGTTGACAAGCCAAGACGTCAACGCAACTGCACCAACAGCGGTAGCAACATCAGAAAGTTGCAGGCCACCGACCTTGCCCCCGACAACCTCGATCCTCGATTCCCGAACGATCTGGGCACCCCCCGAACGCCTTCTGCGAGGCGCAGCTGCTGGAAGGTTCCCCGAAGCTGGAAAGCCGGCCAGACCCCTCGAAAACGGCCGACAACCTATGCCCACTGTTTAGCATGGGGGAAGCGGGTCCTGAGGGAAACGAGTCCTGGACCCCAGGGCCTTCTCCCAGGACGAGGTCTTCATCCCCAATAGTTCTAGGACAGCCCCGGGGCTCCGTGGAGGGCCCCGAGAGCCCGAAGCGGTGAAAACCCTCGGGACCCGTTTCCCTCCGGACCCGTTTCCAGTGGAGGCCAGTCCGAAACCTTCCACGAGAAACCCAACCCTCAGACCCCGGGACGCCCATGGGTTTTTGGTGAGGGCGCGTCACGCTTCCCATCGCAAAACCATCGAAACCCAGGAAACCCAGGGCACCCTGGAGGCAAGCAGGGTGTTTCTTGGCATGGGTCTCCTTGGCATGGGTCTCCACTGTACCATTAGGTCGGGCGTGGTTCCCCTTCAGGGGGGTTCTGGACGAACCTGATCGACCCACGAACCCGGAAAGGAATATAGAAATGTAACGCATGGCAACGTTTTCAAAGACACCTGATTGGGTGACGGGCAAGTGCAATGCTGATTGTATCGATCTTGATGTACCGTGCCGAGGGCTGTGCTGTGCTGCACCGTGCTGAATTGCGATGTGCCATGCCGCGGTTGTGCTCTATAGCGTCGTGGATCGAGTCTTCCTTTGCATCCGAGTCCTGACCGAACTGATCTGGATCTTAAGCTCGAGCTGCCTGAACACATAGTAGCTGCCCCAGAGCTAATTGACAGGGGAACATGCCAGGAGGACGCGCCGCGAAACGTCCCAAGGGACGCGCCAGGCGACGTGCCAGGGGACGTGCCATGGGGTCGCACCGCGGGACGTGCCAAGGGGACGCGCTACGGAACGTGCCAATGGATGTGCCACGGATGTGCCAGGGGACGCGCCACGCGACGTGCCAGGGGGACTCGCCAAGGGACGCCCCACGGAACGTGCCAAGGAACGTGCCAGGTTGCAATGCTGAGTGTATCGATCTTGATGTACCGTGCCGAAGTCTGTGCTGTGCTGCACCGTGCTGAATTGCGATGTGCCATGCCGCGGTTGTGCTCTATAGCGTCGTGGATCGAGTCCTCCTTTGCATCCGAGTCCTGACCGAACTGATCTGGATCTTAAGCTCGAGCGGCCTGAACACATAGTATCTGCCGCAGAACTAATTGACAGGGGGACATGCCAGGAGGACGGGCCGCGGAACGTCTCAAGGGACGCGCCAGGCGACATGCCAGGGGAAGTGCCATGGGGACGCACCACGGGACGTGTCAAGGGGACGCGCTACAGAACGTGCTGGGGGCAAGCGTTTCGCTCGAGACATCCTGTCAAAGTCCTCATTCTAGACATCCGCCTGAGCGACCTGGTCACGTGAAAACAAACGTTTCGCTCAACACATCCTCAACACATTCTCATGCTAGACATCCGCCTGGGCGAACTGGACACGTGAAAACAAGTAGTTCGCTCGAGACATCCTCAACACATCTTCACGTGAGACGTCCGCCTGGGTGACCTGGGCACGTGAAAACAAGCGTTTCGCTCGAGACGTTTTCAACACCTCCTCATTCTAGACATCCGCCTGGCGACCTGTACACGTGAAAGCAAACGTCTCGCTCGAGACATCCTCAACACATCTTCATGTTAGACATCCGCCTGGGCGACCTGGACACGTGAAAACAAGCGTATCTCTCGAGACATTCTCAACACATCCTCATGCTAGGCATCCGCCTGGGCAACCTGGACACGTGCAAACAAGCATCTCGATCGAGACTTCCTCAACACCTCCTCATTCTAGACATCCGCCTGGGCGACGAGGACGCGTGAAACCAAGCGTCTCGCTCGAGACATCCTCAACAGATCCTGGCGCTTGACCTCTGCCTGGGCAACCTGGAGGCGTGAAACCAAGCGTCTCGCTCGAGACATCCTCAAGACCTGGGCACGTGAAACCAAGCATTTCACTTGAGAGATCCTCTAAATTCTGGTCCCCAGGAGAAGACAATCCATAACACAAAACAAGCGTTTCGCTCGAGACATCCTCAACAAATTCTGAAAACAAACAAGCGTTTCGCTAGGGGCATCCTCAAAAAAAATTCCGCCAGCCCACCTCGAGCTCGATATTTATCAGGGAATAATTCCGCCGGCCCACCTCAAGTGAGGTCCAGGGGTAAACAGCTAAAAAGAGAACCCTGGGCCCGAGCCCTTTCCGGGAAAAACCAAAAACCTACCCAAAAACACCTCAAAATGGCCCCCAGACTTTTGCTTACTATTTTTGAACATGTTCCTCCCGTAGAGGGACACGCCCGACCTAACTGCACACCATGGCGAACTGTGCCGATGCCCCCCTGGAGCTGCGGCGCCGGCGGCGGGCCGCGCACCCACGCCCGCAGCCGGCCGACGCCGGAGCCCTCCACGTCGGCCTCTCTCGCCGCGGAGGGGCGGCCGGCGCGCCTCTCGCCCCTCGCCGCCCGGCGATGCCGTCGCTCGTCGTCGGCGGCGACGCCGACGACGACGACGACGACGACGACGACGACGACGGCGAGGGCGACGACGACGGCGGCGACGACGACGTCGCTCGTCGCTCGTCCCTCGTCGCTCGTCGCTCGTCGCTCGTCGCTCGTGGCTCGCCGCCCTCGCCGTCGTCGATATTCGGTGGTTTTCCGCGGTTTGCTGTGGCCTTCGGCCGTTTTTGTCGGCTCCGTGGATGTGTTGTGTAGGTGCGCGAGGGTTTTCACAGAGGCCCCGAGGATGGTTTAAGATCCCAATTCGGATGGCATGTTTGCCCTGGTGATTTTGCCACGTCGTCGTCGCCGTCGCCGTCGCCGTCGCCGTCGCCGTCGCCGTCGCCGTCTTCGGAAGATTTCGCAGGGCTCGCAGTCGTCTTCCCGCGTCCCCAGCTCTGCCCCTGGGCTTGGGGGGAGAACGGCGCGGGGAGGAGGACAGAGGGTGAAACGGAGCACGGGGTGGGCGGGGAGGGGGGGTCGAGGAGGGGATCGAGGGGGGAGCACCGGGGGAGCGAGGGGAAGAAAGTGGAGGAGGAAGCGGAGGAGGAGACCAGACACGTCGTCGGTACCATGGCGTCTGGGTGGTGGGCTGATTGTTCACCCGTACCCTGCATTGGGCCGAACAGCCGCCTGTCGGCTGTTCGGCCCAATGCAGGTCCGCCTGTTCGGCTGTTCGCCTGCCGCCTGCTCGCGTGGTCCGCTCGCTCGCGCCGTCGACTTCGCAAGTGCACGGCGACGGCGACGGCGGCGTCGTCGTCACCGCCCCCGACCGATCGAGGATCGCACATCGAAGGTCGAGCATAATTCGTGGTCGAAGTCGACGCCGCCGCCGCCGCGGTCGCGGCGGTCGCTTCCGGAGGCCTTGGCGGGTTTTGCCTCCACGCCTTCGAAGCATGCTCGACGGCCTGATGCAGCTCGCCTCGCCCGGAAATTTCCTGAGGGCCCCCCAAGACTAACCAGCCTCGAACGTATCCCTATCCCTAAGATGGGCGAGCAAAAAGCGAGGACAATCTTAGGGATAGGCCCTCAACATGATGGACCCACGAACCCGGAAAGGGATATAGACATGTGGAGCATGGACACGTTTTCACGATACCCAACTGGGCAACACCTCACGAAACATCCCACGAGACACTTCACGAAACATCCCACGAGACACCTCACGAAACATTCCACGAGACACCTCACGAAACATTTCCACGAGACACCCCGCGAAACATTCCACGAGACACCCCACGAAACATTCCACGACGACAGGCAACACTCAACCAAGGCGGTGTGGTCGTGCTGGGGAGTGGTCGTGCTGGGGTGTGGTCGTGCTGGGGGGTGGTCGTGCTGGGGTGTGGTCGTGCTGGGGGGGTGGTCGTGCTGGGGGGTGGTTGTGCTGGGGCGTGGTCGTGCTGGGGCGTGGTCGTGCTGGGGCGTGGTCGTGCTGGGGTGTGGTCGTGCTGTGGTGAGGTCGTGCTGGGGTGTGGTCGTGCTGGGGTGTGGTCTTGCTGGGGTGGGGTCGTGCTGGGGTGGGGTCCTGCTGGGGTGTGGTCGTGCTGGGGTGTGGTCGTGCTGGGGTGGGGTCGTGCTTGGGTGGGGTCGTGCTGGGGTGTGGTCGTTCTGGGGTGTGGTCGTGCTGGGGTGTGGTCGTGCTGGGGTGTGGTCGTGCTGGGGTGTGGTCGTGCTGGGGTGTGGTCGAGCTGGGGTGTGGTCGTGCTGGGGCGTGGTCGTGCTGGGGCGTGGTCGTGCTGGGGTGTGGTCGTGCTGGGTGGGTCTGCCTGGGGTGGGGCGTGCTGGGGTGGTCCCGCACCCTGTTGATTTTATGATCGGTCGTGCTGGGGTGAAGGTCGTGCCTGGTCTGGGGTGTGGTCGTGTTCTGGAGTGTGGACGAGCTGGGTGAGGTCGTGCTGGGGAGTGGACGTGCTGGGGTGTTCGTGGCTGGGGCGTGTCGTGCTGTGCGTGGTCTGCTAGGGTGTGGCATGTCTGGGTGTGGTCGTGCTGAGCCCCCCCGCACCCGTGAAAGGATAAAGAACTGTAAAAACACTGGCAGCGTTTCAAAGACACCTGATTGGGTGACGGGCAAATGCAATGCTGAGTGTATCGATCTTGATGTACCCTGCCAAGGGCTGTGCTGTGCTGCGCCGTGCTGAATTGCGATGTGCCATGGCGCGACTGTGCTCTATAGCCTCGTGGATCGAGTCCTCCTTTGCATCCGAGTCCTGACCGAACAGATCTGGATCTTAAGCTCGAGCTGCCTGAACACATAGTAGCTGCCCCAGAGCTAATGGACAGGGGAACATGCCAGGAGGACGCGCCGCGAAACGTCCCAAGGGATGCGCCAGGCGTCGTGCCAGGGGACGCGCCATGGGGTCGCACCGTAGGACGTGCCAAAGGGACGCGCTACGGAACGTGCCAATGGATGTGCCACGGAATGTGCCAGGGGACGCGCCACGCGACGTGCCAGGGGGACTCGCCAAGGGACGCGCCACGGAACGTGCCAAGGAACGTGCCAAGTTGCAATGCTGAGTGTATCGATCTTGATGTACCATGCCGAAATCTGTGCTGTGCTGCGCCGTGCTGAACTGCGATGTGCCATGCCGCGATTGTGCTCTGGATAGCGTTGTGGATCGAGTCCTCGTTGCATCCGAGTCCTGACCGAACTGATCTGGATCTTAAGCTCGAGCTGCCTGAACACATAGTAGCTGCCCCAGAGCTAATTGACAAGGGGAACATGCCAGGAGGACGCGCCGCGAAAAGTCCCAAGGGATGCGCCAGGCGACGTGCCAGGGGACGTGCCATGGGGTCGCACCGCGGGACGTGCCAAGGGGACGCGCTACTGAACGTGCTGGGGACAAGCGTTTCGCTCGAGACATCCTATCACAATCATCCGAATTCCTACGCGCGGGACGCGGCACGCGCGAGACATCCTCGCAATTCCTGCGAGCGGGACACGAAAACAAACATTGCGCCTGAGATATCCTCTGAATTCTGGCCCCCCACGAGGCCCCCGCTCGAGACATCCCCCAATTTTGCAAAACCAGCGTTTCGCTCGAGACATCCTCAACAAATTATGAAAAACAAGCGTTTCGCTTGAGAATTCCTGTCAAAACCCAAAGAAATCAAAATTCCTGCGTGCGGGACGCGGCACGCGCGAGACATCCTCGGAATTCCTGCGCGAGGAGCGCTTTTCCGTGTCGCGGTCGGCTCTGCAAAACCAACGTTTCGCTCGAGACATCCTCAACAAATTCTGAAACCAAGCGTTTCGCTCGAGACATCCCCAACTCTGCAAAACCAGCGTCTCGCTCGAGACATCCTCAACAAATTCTGAAAAACAAGCGTTTCGCTCGAGACATCCTCACAAATAATTTCGCCGGCCTCCTTCGACCTCGATATTTATCAAGGAAAAATTTCGCCGGCCTCCTTCAAGTTGGGCACCGGGGACATGTTTACATAGAAAAAGAAAACCCTGGGCCCGCGCCCTTTCCGGGAAAAACTGAGGGAATCCTTAAGATCGGCATCGAGGTGAGATGATGCCAAACATAGGGATAGGGATACGTAGCACCCCGCAATCGCGGATAAGAGTGAGGGGGCGGGCGCGGGCGACGCGGGCGTCGTCGAGCCGGCGGACCTCGTGGCCCCCACTTTCCCTGTCGATGGCGATCTCCTCCTCCTCCTTCTCCTCCTCCTCCTCTTCCTCGTCCTCGTCCTCATCGTTATCGTCATCCTCCTCCTCCTCCTTGTCCTCCTCCTCTTCTTCCTCGTCTTCCCTCTCCCCCCCTCGTCCTTTCATCATCGTCCTCCCATTGTCGTCCTCCCCTTCATCGGCCTCCATCATCGTCCTCCCATTGTCGTCCATCATCATCATCCTTCCCCTCCTCCCCCTCGTCCTCCTCCTTCCCCTCCTCCCCCTCCTCGTCCTCCTGCTCCTCCTCCTTTTCTCTCTCTCCACATTATCCTTACATCCTCTCTTCTTCCGCGTTCTCTTCGTCCCCTGTTTACTCCTCCTGCCTCCCCCTCCTTTCCCAAGATAACTGAAACGCAATCGTTTTTTCCACTGTATGCTCCCCGCCTTCTCTGATCAAGGCAACTCGCCAGGGCAAAGTTGCTGGACGGGCTGGCGTGGATGCGCGGGGCTTGGCTTGAAGAGGTCCTTGCTGGCTCAGGCGGCATGCGAAAATCCGCCGCCGCGTTTGTGCGGCATTGGTTTGTTCAGTGAACGTGGTTTAGGTCGCGGGTGGGTCGCGGGCTCTCCACCTCCACCTGGAAGGAATGCAAAAGCAGCCCGCCGCAGGCGCCAACAACAATTGGTTTGTACACTGAACGTGGTTTGGGTCGCGGGTGGGCCGCGGGTTCTCCACCGGGAACGAATGCAAAAGATGCCCGCCGCAGGCGCCGAAAAATGTAGTTTGTACCCTGAACGTGGTCGCGGATGGGCCGCGGGCTCTCCACCTGAAACGAATGCAAAAGATGCCCGCCGCAGGCGCCGAAAAATGCGGTTGTACCCTGAACGTGTTTTGGGTCGCGGGTTGGTCGCGAGTTGGTCACGGGGTGGGTCGCGGGCTCTCCACCTGGAAGGAATGCAAAAACATGATGGACCCACGAACCCGGAAAGGGATATAGACATGTGGAGCATGGACACGTTTTCATGATACCCAACTGGGCAACACCTCACGAAACATCCCACGAGACACCTCACGAAACAGCCCACGAGACACCTCACGAAACATTCCACGAGACACCTCACGAAACATATCACGAGACACCCCGCGAAACATTCCACGAGACACCCGACAATAATGATCACTAAACATTCCACACGACAGGCAAACCCACTCAACCAAGGCGGTGTGGTCGTGCTGGGGTGTGGTCTTGCTGGGGTGTGGTCGTGCTGGGGGGGTGGTCGTGCTGGGGGGTGGTCGAGCTGGGGC